TTCACTTTTGACGAATTATATGTTTGTCAACTTAACCTGAGATAGATGATGAACCCGTATGCTTGACTTGTATCCTTTGATGTACTAAAGGGAGACATCCTGACATTATGTAAAGGTACGTTTGCCGGTACATTGGGGGTATGACTCGTGTATGCGTAGATTCGTTATTCATAGATAGTGGAATCTATAGCTCCTATAAAGAGTCAATGATATCCTCTTATGCATTATCAGTGGATTGAAAAATACGAGCGATCAGCCATTAGACTACTCTGTGTTATCTAATGGTTTAATGTTTGTAATGGTACGAATAGTATTTTTTCTGATGGTATGATAATGGAACATAAGATAAATGTAATCGAGAAGGTAAAATGGAACTTGACCTCAAGTCGATTATGGATATCCTATGGGGATAATACACTAATATATTGAGTCATGGACTAGAGCTAATCAGAGCTTTGTAAATACGCTATATAAATCGAGAGTGCAGCTCTAGGCTTTTAGTGGAATAGCGCTAGAGTTTTATAATCATGAGATGAACTTGTTGGTTTACAAGTAGCGTTGTGATTATAGGAGCTTGATTTATATATGTCCATCGGGTCCCTTTGCTAGCTCACATAATTTCTTGTAACGATACGGCGTATTTCCTACACATTGGTAACTTGTGTTATTTCCGTAAAAGAGGTTCAAAGTTAATTCATGGGTGATTTATCGGGTGAATTAATTGATAAATTAATTCTAGATAAATTGGTTGAATTATTATTTTAAGAGTTGTTTAATATGAGAAGACTATTCTATGACTGTTTTGATCAGGCAATTTCTCTATTGGGTTGCTTGAATCAAAACTGAGGCTCTATGTAAGTTTCCCGTGTTGAAAAACTAGGAAAATAACTTTTGTCAGTGCAGACAGGTCGACCGGTTGGGTAGACCGGTCACAGGTCGACCAGTTCGTGAAGGACAAGTCGACCGGTGAGTTATAACATCTCTATTACCGGTCGACCGGTTGTAACGTAAAATGCATGCTGGTGTGGCAAAATCGACTCTGAATACGATTAAGACTTTGGGAAACCTAATTATTACGGAAGTATGACTTCCTAAACACTATAAATAACCTATTAAGTCACATTACTCATTATATCACTTGAGAGACTTTTTGGAGGCTATAGATAAAAGATTCCTGAAAGGAAAATTTGTTTAATTCTCAAGAACAATTTTTCTTTGGCTCTCTTGTGATTGGAAGGAGATCAAGAATACCAAGAGGAGATTGAATGACGTGTGCCCACCCGGACTCTGATTGTGGCAACGAAAATAGCAAAGAAGACCAGTTGGTTGAGGCTATTCCGGTTGCTGTTTAGAACGCTTTGATCTGTCAGACGTGCAGTTTCCTAAATCTCAAAAGGTATGATTTAGATCTTTAGTATTTATGTTATATAGCATCATGAACTTGTTCTTGATTAGCTTTGGCATTGATTTAAATTTTTTAAAATTCCGCTGCGCACTTGATGCCATTATTTTCCAACAGTATACCCCTTTCATTTCACTTAAAGTGTTGCAATCCTGAGCTAGATGGCCCTGCCCACCACAAACGAGACATGGCTCTTGTGCCTCTGTCCTTGCCACCATGTGGATTCCTTTACTATCTTTACTTTTGAGGGCCTCGATTTACTTCGTCAAAGCTTCAACTTGGGCCTTGAGGCTGTCCTCTTCCCTTAATTGATAAACTTCAACTAGTCGGGACCTACTGGTGCTCTCAGTAGCACTCAGTCCAGTCCAAGTATGAGCTTTCTCAGCTAACTCATTTAGGTACTCGATAGCTTCGTCAGGATCCTTTTGGAGAAAATCCCCATTGCACATCATCTCAACAAATTGGCGCTCTCGGATTGTGAGTCCATCATAGAAATAGCTTACGAGGCACCAACTTTCATATTCATGGTGGGGACACAGATTTAACAGATATTTAAAACGCTCCCAAGCTTGATAGAGAGTTTCATTTTCCTTCTGAGTGAAATTTGAGATCTATCATTTCAAATTGTTGGTCTTGTGGTGTGGGAAATACTTGTTAAAGAATGTCGTCATCATTCCTTCCCACGTACCAATAGACTTGGGCCTAAGAGAATACAGCCAGCTTTTGGCCTTGTCCTTCAGAGAGAAAGGGAAAAACTTCAATCTAACAGTGTCTGCGGCCTCAGCACGCCTGTGAAAGGTGGCCACCACCTCTTCAAACTCCCGAATGTGTACATATGGGTTTTCGTTCTCTAACCCGTGAAAGGTTGGGAGTGCAATCATGCCCGGCTTAAAATCCGTAAGCGGTGCATTTGGTGGGAACATGATGCAAGATGGGGTAGCCATGCGCGTTGGGTGCAGGTAATCTTGCAACGTTCTCTGTTGAACTTCCTTGTGTTGTGCCATTGCGAATAGATTTTGAAATGCGAATTTCAACGACGAGTGTGAAGACGGAGGCGTAGAAGACGAGTCGGATAGAATTTCACTAGGGGTTTCTAAGTTTGGACGTTGAACAAATCTCCCTAGCTCGTCTCTATACCGATGCATTCACCCTAAGCGGCTCTTTTTTTAATTTTTTTAATTTTTTTAATTTTTTTTTTCTTTTGGTTTTTTTTTAATCAAAACAAAAGAAAATAATTATATTGTAACGTAAATTGTAACCACCGAGAGTGCTCCCAGGAAAGACTATAGCTCAATGAATAGTCTCCTAAACAGAACAACGTTCCCAGAAAAGATTGGTGGGGCGAGGCCCATTTAAGTACTAACTTTCCTAGACAGAACTCCTTCAGATTATACTTTCCACGTAACCACACAATTATCCTCAAAACCAATTATTAAATTTTATTGAATAAATTATGAAATGTAATCTAATTAATAGAAACTAATCCTAAAGTCAAAAGCCTAAATCTACCAAATTATGAAATTCCTATACTTAGAATAGTCAATTAATTACAATCCTAATTATAATCCTAAGAATTAATGTAAACTATAAAAGGAAAAATTAAATTAGGCAACAATATAATAATTAACAATTAAATTATATAAATAAGGAAACAAAATAAAATCCTAACTTATAAAAAGTAAAAGATTACAAAAATTAAATCACAAGTAATTCTAAAACTAAAAAGGAAAGTGAAATAAAAAATAAAAATAAATGTGAGAGATTTTTTCTAGCAACACAACACAACTAAGGAAAAAAAAAATGAAAAAGGTGAGTAAAAAAGGTGACTTGTCCCTTTTTTTTTTTTTGGTTTTGATTAAGGGACGACACTAATGGCTAAAAAGAAAAACCAAAACAAACAAAAAGAAAATAAATACACGTACATATAAAAACCAATAAATGAAAGCAAAATACACAAACTAACAGAAAGGAAGCAACTATGACACACGAGTTTCGCACCTAAAACAAACACCAAAAAGGAAGTATTTTTTTTTTTTTTTGAAATAAGAAACAAGAACGTGAACTAAAGGCTGAAACAAGAGGAAACGACAAGAGAAAAAAAATGAAGCAAAAAGGTTGAAACAAATTAAACTACTAATCTGCTACAGAATTGAACTAAAGGCTAGACAAAGGCTCAAATGTATACTTACCTCTTTGGCTCAAAAATCTACTGATCAGTCTTGCTAATAGCACCTCCCTGACAATGGTACCAAAATTTGATTAACGCCCAAAAGTGATGTTCACAAGTGCTCAATTGTAGCACAGAAGGGCGGTCGTATCCACAGAGAGATAACAAAATAACAAGAAAGATTAGCAAAATAAGAGCGTTAGAGAAAAATAAATAACAAGTGAATTAAAGAAAAAAAAGAGTTTTTGAGATTTTGTTGCAAATAAAATGAAAAGGAGAAAATTTGTATGAAGAAAATTCAGTAGTAAAAACGGTAAGGTGTCGAGAATCCCTAATGTTTCGTTCACCAATTCAAGTTTTGATTCACAAAACAAAAAGATCGAATAAATTAAATCGCTATGTTGACTCCGAAAATATTATCATTACAAGTTATCCAAAATCGACAATATATCAATTTGACAATATTGCAGTAAAGACAATTTGTAAAATAATTTGAATAACAAAACAACGCGTGACAAAATTACATAAGAAAAGCGTGACTGAACTTATATAAAAATTGGCACACAATATTTTGAAAAGGAAAAGAAAGATAGATGAGATTTAATTCATTCGGATGCTGAACTTTACAGCACAAGGAATTAAAAACCCGAATTGGGTCACTCAACAAAAGTTCATCTCTAACCTCACTAAGAGAACTCTAGCCTAACTTGCAAAACATTCTCACAAGTTCTAGAGAGAAAATATGAGAGTGACAGCAAGACGATAGAAAACTGAATATTAAAAACTTACAAAAACCTTAGGCTAACCCCTCTATTTATAGTGTTTAGAGGTTGTCTGTCAAATAAGGAAACAAACAATAAAAATAGAAAATTACAAAAGAAAAGGAAACAAAATAAAATTACACATAAATTTAGAGAAATCAAATATATGATTTGAGGAAGAAATCCGGTAATTTGCTCTGATTTTTGGGGAAGAAATTCAGATTTAGCTCCAAAGGGAACACGTGTCGCAACGTGATTGGCAATGAGGAGAAAAATGCACCACGTGTCACGCGCGAAATGGTTGAAGCTTGCTGGCGTGAACAGGCGCAGGGTCCGTGGAAGCTAGCTGTCATGCACGGAGAAGAGGAGCAGGCTGCACACTGACACGCGGGACCCACGCGGAGGAAAGTAGGGACGCGTGTTAAAGGCTGCGTGGAAAGAACACGCGCACTGAGGAATGGTGTGCTGGTGATGCGCGAGGCGCGAGATGACGCAAGAGGAAGGTGCGGGCTGAATGGTGGGGTCCACTCATCTTGGCTCGGCTTGGCGGCTTATTTGGCTAACGCGGCTATTCTCTCTTTTTGGCTTGTGAGGCTCGGCTTAGTGGCCTAAATTGGCTGAAAATTGTATCTTTTTGTGTAGCTCTTCACACTGTTTTTTATCTGTAAATAATTAAGCAAAAACTAGACAAATTCCAATTAAAAATATTATAAATAAAAATAATAGAATTGTTTAATTAAAGCTTAAATATTTTAATATTATATAAATCAAAAGCAATATTTAAGGTGCACTTTCATGTACTAATCGCCTACCCTACGGCGACACTCTAGAGTTAAGTCTATAGAATCTAAAACGATGGGTTACACTCATGGAAATGTAATCAAATTGTTGATTATATTTTTGACCAAAATAACGGTAGTTGATAAATATGAAAATATGAGATATTTTTAATATATTTATTAATTGAGAAGGTCTCGGTTTGATTTGTGAATATTTTGACTTACCCTACAGCTGCACTATATTCGTGGAAAATTAGATTATCATTGGCACCTAAAATTAAAACATGATTTATGTATTTTTCATGTGCATCATGCATCATATTTAATTGTGCCAAAAATTCACATGCCTTGATATTCATGCACATAAATTAATTAGATGAATATTCTACTTATTTTCAGCAATATGTCAAATCCTATAATCTCACTACACAAAACTGAAACACTGACTAGAGATAAACTATGCGAAATGGTAAAGTAACATAAACAACTTACATTCATGTGATGAATATAAGTTTGTCCCAAATGAAGGATTGTCCTCCTGTCCCTAACGAAACCACTATAGCTAATTGTTAGCTAGGGTTGTGCGTGGTAATTCACAAGAAATATGAAGGCATGGAAATAGCTTATAAGATAATGCAATAATCAGATACCGTATCTGGGAATCCATAACAGAAAGATTGGCTAAATACTGTAAGGGACCTCACCAAAAGACAAAAGGAAAATCGTTTCCACCAAAATAAAGGAAAAGAATCAAGCGCATATGATTTACTAGTTCTAAAAACATGTTTTAGTAAAAGGGTGATTCCTTATCCTGGATAGTAGATTCGGGAGTTACTACTCATATTTGTTTTCTTTATTAAGTCTTAGTTGTCACAAGGAATGTCGTTTACATCGAAATAAAGAAAGAAACTCAAGCAAATATGATTTGCTAGATCTAAATATATGTTTTAGTAAAAGGGTGATACCTCATCCTAGATAGTAGATTTGGGAATAACTAATCATGTTTGTTTTCTTTAAGTCTCAGCTCTTACAAGAAAATTATTTCCCGAAACAAAGAAAGGAACTTAAGCAAATATGATTTGCTAGTTCTAAAAACATGTTTTAGTAAAAGGGTGATACCTTATCCTGAATATTAGATTCGGGAATAACTAATCATGTTCGTTTTCTTTATTAAGTTTAGCCCTTAAATGGAAATTGTTTCCACCTAAATAAAGAAGAAGAATAAAAAGTAAATAAGATTTACTAATTCTAGAAACATCTTTAGTAGAGGGTGATTTCTCATCCTGGATAGTTGATTCGGGAGCAACTAATCATGTTTGAGTTTCTTTACAAAATATTAGTTCTTACAAAGAACTTGCCATCAGGGACTACACGATGAAAGTGGAAAAACCGCGAGGGTACCGGCAAAAACAGTGGGAGAAGTTAGACTTCAGTGTTGGAAATACCATGTTGTGAACAATGTTTATTTCCCTCCAGGCATTATGAGAAATTTGATTTCTAATTCCAAATAATTTGAACAGTTACTTTTAATAATAATCTAGTCCACATTTTTTGGAATGGTTCCAATATTTATTCTAGATATTATGGAAAACAGTTTATACCTTTTAAACCAATGCCTGACTCACTGTGTAATGTTGAAATGTTAAACAGTTGCCAAACCTAAAAATAAGAAGCAAAAGATTTCTCACGATAATAACACATAATTGTGGCATCTTAGGCTTGGCCATATTAACCTAAACAGGATTGAAAGACTGATAAATGATGGTCCTTTATGCGAACTAAAAGTTAGTAAGCTTCCAGTCTGGGAATCTTGTCTGGGAGGCAAAATGACCAAGAGGACTTCCACGTCGAAAGTAGAAAGAGCCACAGAACCTCTTCAGCTGATATATTCAGATGTATATGGATCGTCAAACGTCTAA